CCGCGGAGAGGGAGACACGCCTGGGTTCCGGCATCCCGGCGGGCAGCACCTCCACGCCTGCGGAGACCCGTCCGAGATGCCGCCCGGAAACTCCCTTTCCCGTTCCCAACCACCAGCCTGTGCCATCAAAAAAACCCCACGACACCCGCAGGAAAAACCCTTTGCCCGCAGGAAACGGGCAAGCGCAGAGGTTTGCAGCCGAGGCGAAAAGTATCCAACCACACGTGGATCTTCCCGAGTCCCTCACACACGCCGACGGGTTTGTCCGGCGGGAAATAACCGGGCGGGATTTGGGAGCGGTACCTTCGAAGGTGTGCTGGTCTATGATGAGCAGGTTGTGCACCTCCACCTCCTCCCCGAAGGAGGTCTCGTGCGGCGCCGTGCTGCTGGAGAAGAGCTTGCTGGTGCTCACGCTGCTGGACAAGGCCTAGGACACAGGAACAGGGGTCACATCCTTCTGTCACCGGCATCTCCTCACGCGGCCAGGGCCGGAAGAAGGAACGGGAGAGGGGGAAGAAGCAAGGAATTCCCTGGGTTTGAGCGAAGGGACACGCTCCCCACGCCGCAGAGGTGGTGCTGCTGAGTGACAGCATTAACAGGTTCATTCCTGAAGGGAACTTGTGCCCCCATCCCTGTGGGAATAAACCACTTGGGACCTACGGGGAACAGAAGGAGCAGCACCCAAACCCAACGGTGACCTGGCAGATCCTGAGGGCACCGAGCCCTTTTCACCATCCCATTCCCACCCAGGCTGAGGGAGAGCCTGCCCTCGGAGCTTTAGGAGACTGTCAAGGAGAACCTTGTCCAGGAGAATCCGCGGGACGGGTTGACCCGAGGAACTCGGAGACGATCCAGCAGCTCCCCCTCACCTGGGTGCTGGCGCTGGGTCTGAGGGCGGTGGTTCCCCCGCTGGCATCCTGCACCTCGATCCGACTGGAGAGGACGCCGAAACACTGGGACACCTCTTGGTAGCAGATCTTCCTGCGGGATGAGAGCGCTGCGTGGGCGGGAAAGGCCACTCCAGGGAGAGCACAGAGGCTCCGGAGACACGACAGAGCCGTTTGCCCAGCCGAGCT